ACACACACACACACACACACACACACACACACACAGAATGGGGCAAATTTGGCTATAAGTTCAGGTGTATTTCAAAATGAATGAATGTGCTTTTAAACTTACAGTCACATGCTCTATCACGTCTTTTGCCCATTTTTGCGTTGCTTTGTTTTCCCGTGTTGGTATTGTTTCTGTACCATTTTCATTAACGCTGCATCAGGATCGTCACTCCTGCTGTTTTCGCTCTGCAGTTTCATTGAAGAATACTGGAAAAGCACCACATACTTAACCTAAACCTCACAATACATTTTAAAAAAGGTTTTCCCTTGAAAGGTTTCCTGCCAAAGAAAGTGAAACTGCAGAAGATGACACCAGGTGCAACTCCTGTCAGGAAGCCTGCAGGACTCAGTCTCACCAGACTGAACAACAGAGGCTGGAAGTGTTGCTGATCTGATGAGCCTCGGTTTCTGTTGGACTTCAGATACAGTCAGAATCTGCTATGATCAACACAGAAGAAAGGATCCGTCCTGGCTCGCGGGATATTTCCTTGGTAAACTTTTGTATCAAAGTAGCAATGTTTACATGCATAAATCCCACGGAAACCAGCTGCTACTGATTTTGATTGAACACAGGACACAACTTTACAACTTGAATTCATCCATTAAACCACAGTCTGCTCTATTAGATTTTTGTTTGCTCTTTATATAATACCTCCTGTAATGATTATAAACATCTTTTCATTTCTACCGTATATCCACATAGTAAAAATAACATTTTGGCAGGGAGTTGATTTCCATCTTTTTCTGCAACATCTGCACCCTTATTGTTTTCCTGTTGGACTATGAGCTTCAGCATCCTACACCTGCTATGATGTGTTCACTTTATAATATCCAAGCAAGCTCAGTGTGGGGTATACAGGAGTTATCTTAACATGAACAGGCAGAAAATCTGTTTTTCTTCTCTTACATGGCAATACTTTGTCACTAATTACTCAACAAGCTTGACTACTGCAAAACCTTTCTATCTAGTCTACCTGAAATTGTTATAAATCATCTCCAACTAATCCAGAATCCTACAGCCGAGTGCCTACGAGGGCCAGAAGGAGAGAAAACATATTACAGCAGCTCTAAAGTCCCTGCAGTGGCCATCTGTCAGTGACCTTATTGACTGCATTTCTTTTACTTGTTTTTAAAGCACTTCATTGTCTTGCTCCACTATATATGTCTGACATGCTGACAGTGTATGAACTAGCAAAGACCCTCAGGTCCTCCAGCACAAATCTGCTAGTTTTTCCACAGTAAAGGACACATGGGGAGGCAGCTTTTAGCTTTTATGCCCCGAGCTGCTGGAGCAGTCGGAGTGGAGGAACTGAGAACAGCCGGAAATGTTGAGAACTTGAAACTCAAAACCCGTCTTTGCTCCTTTAAAAACTATTTGAATCTGTTTATCTGTACTTGTTTGATCTCATTACATGTTGCTTTGTCCTGCTATGGACTTGTTGAACCACTTTGGCCTGAACTAACCTGCAAGAAGTCGTTAAACGAGTAAAGTTTCAGGGTTTCTGCAGCAGATCTGTGCCGTGGGGATCTCATTGCTCCCTGTGAGAATTCTTCCTGCTTATGTTGAATATAGAAAACATCTCCACAGTATGACCTCACTGTATAAACAGAGTCCTTGTTCTCAGACTGAGAAGGACCTGTCTGTACTGTCAGCTTCACTAACATTGCTGGTATTTCATTGAGTTGTGTGAACTGGGTCATGACGTCAGACAACAGGTGCATAAAATCAAAGCTGCTGCCTCTAAAGTCTGTCATTTGCATGTTTCTTGAGCTGAACGCTGCAACTTAATGCTTGAAATCGGGCATTATTCTACCATCAGAACAGAGCATGTCATCTTTGGGTGTCAGCTAGCGAGCTACCTTTCTGCTACCTTCTAATCCTCTTTTCCATGGAAGAATGTTCTTTTACCACCTCGGAGAACAGCACTGGAAGAATTTGGACTGTTTTTAACTCTCAGTGGTGCCCTGATGCTTGTTTGAAATTAAAGGAGCATGTAGATCCAGAAATGGCTAATAATGCCAGACGTAACAAGCAGCTAAACTCCAAGCTCCTGTTTGTAGTTCTGTGCTGGATGCGGTAATTTAAGTGCTGAAACTGGGCCTTACCCACTGACTCCAGTGGCATGTAGGCTTGTTGGCAGGACACAGGGTCATTGCAGGTATCTCCTCCCTTCTTGTGCAGGTGGAATGAATCAAAGAACGAATTTCACACATTAGCTGCGTGATCAGAGATGAACGTGTGAGGGAAAAATCAAACATCTCTGCCTGTCTTTGTTTGACACACTGATTGTGGGGCAACGGTTTAAGAAGCAATGCTCGACATGATCGAAAACACGATACAACAGCTCCAGTTAAACAGCACTAAAGATTTGGTAACAGCTGTATTTATTATGCAGAAGCCTTCAAATGATTTTAAGTCCGACTGCATCAAAGAGAGCTGTCAAACAAAAACGAGATTAAAAGGAGAAATGAATCAACAGCATGCTTTGAAAATTGCCTTTGAGAACCTGATACTGGCTGAGGCTAATTGAGTTGTTTGTTGACGAGACTTGAGAGAAAGCCTGAGGCTTCCTTTCACCCTGCTGGCTTTGCTGCTTTACATCCAGCCAACTGCATGGAGGGGATTTCCTCTCCACTTTTTCCCCATTTGCGACGTGAAGGTGTCAGCTTCCCTTTGGAGGCAAGACCCCACACGTAAAACCTCCACTGCCCCAAAACTAAAAGGCAGAACCGCAGCCAAACTCTCTTTCACCCCTGACGAGTCAAAACATCCCCCCAGGTCACTGTGAGGTTAGGCAGGTCAAGCAAAGTAACAACAGAGCAGAGGAGCAAAATACATAAATCAGCACCCAGGAGACAGAGACGAGACAGAGAGGCAGAAAGATCAGGAAATGACAGTGTGAGGCTGGAGGTGTGATTTTCGCTGCAGTCACATCCGGAGAGGCAGTTTTCCTGTTAGCATTCAGGAGGCAGAGCTGGAGGTGACGAGAGAGCACCGTTTCTGCTGCAGGCGGTGACCCGAACGGCAGCAGGGAGGGGGGCGGCCGAGGTCAAGAGGGAGCTTACCTCGAACATAAAGGTTAGCCGGAGCCGAATAACGAGTCCCGGCGCTGTTGACAGCCACACACTCATATTTGCCCTGGTCCGACTCCTCGCTGTTTTCAATCTGAAGCGCTCCTGGGGAGGGAGGTTAAAATGTCACAGTTAAGATCTGCACCACACACGTGGAGACACACAGACACACTGTTAGCCTGATCGTCCAAACGGAAAGCTCCCCATAACTTGGCTGAGCAGAAATCTGAATCCAAATCTATACAACTAACTAACATGTTTTCTTCAAGTCGTATCATTTGATCTTATTATTTATGACAACTTTAACAATTAGCTGTTATTGTGCTGACTCAGGCTTTCCAGCATTTTCTCATTCCAGGGTTTCAAATACTGACATTTGTCAAGATATGCACAGCTATGGTAGCCGTTCTGCGACACATCAGGTTTATGACAACACGTCTTTCACTCCCAACTTGTATGAAGTCTTTGCAGGGCTTCATATTTAAACCATAAGATAACCTCTTGGTTTCTGCAGGCTACATTTTACTGAAGATGAATATTTTTTTAGCATCATCACGTTGTGCTTTTTGGAGCCAGAAGTAAGAGGATGGAGTGCTAAGATGTAAGTTAACACTAGTAAACGTGGTTAGAGAGCTGCATTCATAAACTGTACAGGTGCCACGCACACAGGCATCTGCTGATTAGTGGCGTCCAAATTAAATAAAACTGGATCACAGACTCCTTGGATGTTCTATCTGCACAATTAACCACAAAAGCAAACCACATAAATTCATTACAAATAGATACTTTAAAATCTACAGTTTTCCATGTCAGCAAAGCAAAACATGAACATGTAACAAACAAACTGTAGTCCCCCCATGTGAGGGGTATGTTGGGGGAAAGTAGTTCTAAGTACAAGAAACGTTTTTTAGTAAAGTTTTGTAAAGTTGTTCTTGTAAATTTATGAAAATGACTGTTATTCTTTGAACCTCTCATTCTTCTTTGATGGCTTTGAAAGACAAGAACTCCTTCAGTGTATCTTTGCAACATCAGACAGAAAAGCAGCATTCGACACCCTGGGATAGAAATGCACTGGCACAGCTGTCGCTGTCAACAGTATAGCTAAAATGTCTTGTAGAGACACAACCATGTAAATGTGATTCTTTTTTAAAGGGAGCCTGTTCTGATGTTCCTTATTTTCTGTCACAGATGTGCTGTTCCAGACTTGGATGTTAAACATCCAAGTCTGGAACAAAAACGGTTTTTTCCTGAATGAGAATAAACTGAGCGGCCAATTTAAGATCAAAAAAGGAATATTGTGACATCTGAATCACGCAAAGCAA